TGAAAAATGCACATATCTTGCCTTGTCCCTTCCCCTTAAAAGCGCTTGGTTTTTTATGGGCAGTTTGTGCTGAGTCTCCAAAACTCTTCCAAGAAACTGACTTCAGACTGTACCTCCCGGCATCAGGAGAAAACCTGAAGCAAAGGACAGCAACCCTCCCAAACGGAAAATGCATGAATAGACTGAAAAAAAAGATCCACACAGCAACATCAGCGTTGCCTCATCTGCAGACATAATAAACACACACTCAGGAAGGGAAGGAAAAACATGGCAATGAGCCTTTTTTGGGCTTTTTGCTTTACAGACTGACCGGAAAAAGTGCAGAGTGCCGTGTGGGTCGCTGCCTGCTTGTTTTCATTTCTACAGCTCCAGTGCACAGCGAGAGGAGTGACAGAAGCCCCACGCCAGCTGTGGAGATGTCTTTCAGCTGGAAGGGGTGGTTGAGGGCAGCTGAGTCAACCCTTCACTCACCAACCTCAGAGAACAGGGCTGCTACTGCTGCAGCAGCAGGTGTAACAGCAGAACTGTTCCCACTTTCGTGGCCCAACTCAAAGCATGCCACCCTCTCACCCTGCTTCTAGAGGCTGAAGTTCCACCAGCTGCTTATTTAATCCCGACCAGTCCTGGATTCAATCTACAGCCTTTTGGATGAGATGGAAAGCTGAAGCACATACTGCAAGAAAAATGAAAGCGTGATTTGAAAAGTAGATGCTTTCACTCCTCCTCCTCTGCCTGATGCAAACCAGATTACTGAAGTTCCAACTAAAGGGAAATATTTGCTTATAAAAAGAGCAAATTATTTATACCTATTGCTGTTTTTCAAAGTATAAAGGTGTGACCTTCCTCTCTTGTTCTCTCCTCAGATTTACTCTTGCTGGTAGGAAAAACAAAAGACATAGAAAAGCAGAGTTTTAAAATGGGTAATAAATCTATCACAAAAGCTTCACTGGGGAAGTCTCTCAACGGAATCAGATGTTTGGATATCTAAAACACTAAATTACCCTATAAAAGCTACATACATTTTACCCTCAAAGATGACTAGATTTCTACCAGAGTTATCAAAACATCAAACCTTTGTAACTGCAGAATCATAGAGTCATCAAAGTTGGAAGAGACCTCTAAGATCATCCAGTCCAACCATCAACCCAGAACTACCACTGTAACCCCTTAGCCAGTAAAACAAATCACCCAGCACCAGATCCAGATGTCGCTTAAGCACCTCCAGAGATGGTGAGTCCATCACCTCACTGGGAAACCTACTCCAATGACACCCCAACAGTGATTTTTTTTTTCTAATATCTAACATGAATCTCCTCTGTCTCAGTTTTAGTCTTCACACTGTAGGTGTGGCAGAAGAGGCTGACCCTCACCTCCTTTATCTTAAAGCTCAAGATCAAAGATTTGATAGACCACCAAACTTCAGAGTTTAGCATTAAATTTTGCAAGTAGTTTGGAAAGAGTTATTTAAGGCTGGGAAGTACAAGGACTCAGCTCTTCCTATAAGTTGGTCAGCCTTTATTTTTATTTTTCAATTGTCAATATTTTTTTCCCCTTCTGTAAAGGAAGTTTAAAGAACTGCCAGTACTTGAAGCTGTATTTACAGGTCCACTGTGATACAAACAGGACTCATAATGTTATGCAGCATTCAGACTACTTCAGCTCCTTCAGCCAGCAGGACTTCTAAGAAAAAGAAAAAATGCTAATGCTAATTTAGTTACTGAAGTTGTCACAGGTTTGCTGATCTCATATTACCTGAAAAACTGCTTGAGAACTTGGATCCTTCGGGAATGTACAAGCCAAGAATTACAAATTAAATTTTTAATGCTACTTCCAGATCAACTTTTTGTGGAGTCACTCTGTGGTTCAAAGGCACTCCCTTTAAAAACAGCAACCAAATGTCTCCTTTACCAAGTTGCACAGGAACAGAGAAGGGGAATAATTTGGCTTTGTTAAATCAGAAAAGCCACCGTGTTTCACCTGAAGACTATAAATAAAGTTCAACTCAAATCCTACCCGCGCAAATAAAATCAATTCATAGATTAAATCTATGACCTGTGTTTTATGAGTATCAGTCTATAGCAAATGTACTAATATCATGCTTGGTCCCTACCCTGATCTACCGCTTGCAGAAAAAAAACAAAACAACTGAAGAAACCTTGTACAGTTCAAAGAACAATTACCTGCAAGGCTTACCTTTCAAGACTAATAATGCATACTATAGAAGGAAAGGCACATATATTTGCTTTAAAAATTCTGCAGTTCCAGTAAGCCTGAAAAAGTTTAATAAGACTGAATTATGTGATTGTAAGCCTATTAAATTACACTCTCTGTTGTAAAGAATCAGCCTTTTCTCTCCCAAGCCATTTAGTTAAATTGTTTTCCCCGTTAAAACTTCAAACTTTCCAGAGGGATTGCAACAATAGCTCCTGTCTTATTTATTATTGATATTAATGAAAGAAAATAGATGTGTATAAGCACAAAGCCAGTGGTATCAAGAACAGATTCACACCCAGAGTGAAATGAAAATGGAAATGGAAACTGGGAAGGTGGCTGGGCTCTGGAATGTGAACCAACAGGTAAGCTTGAAATAAGGGGAAGAGGAATAGTCACTACCACCAACTAACTAGCACAAAGAAGCCTTTAATTAGCAGCTGCTCATTAAGCAGGCCTGTGAGTCTTTTAAGACTGCGAAGTTAAATTTGTAGAAAGCAAACACCTGCTGTGCCCAGACAGCAGCCAACTCTGAAATACTTTTAGGCTCAGTTACATATTTGGATTCCTATCTATCCTGGTCTAGATATCCCTTGGGTTCCTATTTAAGACCATATCGAATAAGAGCAATGAATAGGCCTATCAGCCTCTTACATCAGTAGCCTTTTTCTTATCACGTTGGTTTTTTTCATCTCAAAACTGCAACATTCAGTTTGTCTTTGCTGCCCAGGAATGCACAAAGACAGCAGGAACATGGAATGTTAACGTACGGACCCCAAACATACTGCACAGAGCGCAAGAATTGTTCTGAAGGCCATTAAATTCTACCAGCTACTTTTGTTACCATGTACTATATTTTCACCAGTTGTGTATACTGTTTAGGTGACTTATTCTGTGTTTTTATGGTGAGTATTCAAGATGTGGGCCAGATGAAGCACACGAGAGCCTGTTGAATCCCAAGCCTGATCCTGTAAGCTGACACTTCTGCACTGCAGGAGCAGCTAAACAAGACAATACCAGCCACCTGGATGATAGAAGAAGAAGAAGAAAATATTAAAGCAAAAATATTGTGGTCCTGAGCTAGCAAGAGCTAAGATTAGTGTGTGTGTAAAAAGAATCACAAGGTCAAGCTGGAAAGCTGCTTGAAGCATGATTGTTCTCCATGGCTGAAGGCGGCCATGGGAGTGTCTGTGTGGTATGTCTGCAGATAAGTAACACCTGGCCTGGCTTGATGGCTCAGACTTTTATTGTGTATATAAATGGATTAATAAAGTTGCAGCAGAGTTCTGCCTGGACAAAGTCTGCCTCCCGTGGATTCACTCACAGCAAAGGGTGCTGAGTGAGGGATTTTTGCTGCACCGTGCTACACTTCTACTAACGTGTTCTGAGTAAAAATAAAACCCTGAAACACACGACAGCACAATACCACACGTGAAAAGTTTCTCCACTTGTGGTTTCCTCAAACAGCATATAAAAGACCACCACCTACCGTAACATCACTGAAGTCTTTTAGTGGGTATTTTTAATGGTAATGGGCAACATTGTTTTTCAGCAGTACTGGAAGAGTGAAGACTTACCAGGCCTCAGTTCTATGAAACCTATCTGATGGAGAAAATTACTTAGGCTATGCCCACAGCCTAAAGCAGCAGGTCTTACAGGAGGTGAATTCCTCCCATTTCCAACATGCCATGGGATGTACACCTCAATGGTTATATAATTTGCCAGTCTTGCCAGACTCCTGTTTAATTATTTCTGCTTAAAAGTTAGTCAGTTTTGCTTGAGGCAATGCTCTGTTTTCTCTTTACAGTTGCAGCTACCTTCTGTTTTCTCTCTCTTGCATGCCCCTCTCTTATGCTCCCTGTGGAGCAAAAAGAGTCAAGGCAGTCAGGTTGCAGAGGGATGGGAGACCCGACACCGAAAATACCTTGTCCTTAGGGAAGTAAAAAACACCAGGGGCCTTGAACAGGACATGCCCTACAGACTGAGACACTGAAGTGGAGCCGCTAGAACACAAGAAGTAGCAGGAACTGCAGTCATTTCACTCTATCCCCCATCATTTGCCTACTGCCTCCTAGCTACAGCGCAGGGAGCATCAGTGCAATTGCAAGAGGGTTACTGGCGGCTGTGTTCGCTGCTGGCTGCCCTGCCCAGGCAGCCAGAGGCAACAGTTTCAAAGAAAGGAGTACTTACAGACACTGGCATGCTGTGTGAGGAAAAGGGACTGGATGAAGGCACCAATTTCCTGGTTTACTCAGTCAGTGAAGCCAGTCAGAACCCACACAGATATACGATTTTGACATCTTTGAGGCTTATTAAAAATAAACAGGATCACTGGGACTCGGAAGAGAGTTGGGAGGTATTACTGGACTGCCTCACTCCTGTGTGAGGTATTTAGATCCTAGTATGGTGCCTATTACTGGCTTCACACAGACAAGATTCTATGCAGTTTTACCTGGTGCCAATTAAAATGGAAGTAAACAGCTCATTGTGATGAATTCCAAAAGAAGCAAGTAAGTCTCTAGGAAAAAAATGGAAGTGATTAGGGCTTACTAATTAAACTCCTTGCAAGTAACCAGCAAGGCTCCTTTTTTAGAAAATGCCTCAGTAAGTCACTCAGTAATCACAAGTTAAAATACAAACCATAAATACATAAACCATATGATCTAAGCCAACATCCAGGCTGTGGCTCGCTTCTCTTGTTGTGCTGTCATCTGAGAACTCAAACCCTAACATTCCTGCTCATGCCAAGGTGCATGGGAGAAGAAAAACACTACACATGCTCTCCCATCTGTAAAATAAAAATAATTTATTCAGATAACCCTTAAGAACTCTCTCAGGAATCTCAGTATATCAGTGTACAATTAATGACCACTTCAGAAACCATGCTTTTGGTGCAAAGCATAAATTTTACGGCAAGTGCCACAAGATGTTTTTTCATTACTTCATAGCAGCCTATGATTAACAAGAAACTTAACAAATAAATACTATCAGGACTAAGAACAGCATTTAATTTTTATTTAGCTTTGACAAACTCTGGATTGCTGGGAAACAATCTCTGTCTGACAGCTGTCATAATCAGAAACCTTCCTGGCTGAAGTAACACAATTCAGCAGTGTACTTTTAAGTCCTGTAGAAATATTAGTATATCCCACAGAAGAAGTGAATGATGATATCACAGCACTCAATAAAAACGATGAGTTGACTTCAGTCTCTGTTTTCCTGGTAAAAACACTTAACTGTTTCCAGTTAAAATTAGCTTTAAAACAAGGATACACTGTTGGTTGGTTTTCAGAGATGTCATTACAGGATATTAACTTTCTGGGGAGAGGGACATATTTTCCTCAGGATTCTTGCTTTTTTGTTGGTTTATCTAAGTAAGGAGTGTTGTCTTGTAGAAGATCTTTCCTGGTTATGAGCACTGTAATAGAAAAAAAAACCCAGTAAGACTATAATCTTACAGAAAATACTATTCTGAAGTTGTTTTTACACTAACAAACAAAAAATTAGGATCTCATAAGGATCACGAGGATCTGAACTTTGGGTTTATGGTGAGGATCTGAATGAGGATTTGAAATTCTGGTAAGTGTACAAGCATCATCATGACTTCTACCTAGGAAAAAGTTATGCTAAGATTTTTACCTTCACTTGGTCACAATAATGCCTTCCCATTTTTCCTTTTAAGAGCATTGAAAACTTTAATAGCACGAAGAAGCCATAAAAAAAATGTCAAAGCCTTGCAGTAACTCTTAGCAGGAAAGTGAATGGCAATTTTATCATGCCTGAGCCATGTTTACTTCAATAGTTTCAAAAATTAATACTGAATTTGACTTAGCCTGCTCCCCCAGGTCCTGGAATCTGATCTGTACTATTTATCCTGTCACACCTGTTTTAAAGGCCAAGAGGAAAGGAAAGTTATTGCCACTATATTGTCACAGAACTGACTATACTGTCACAGAAGTGCACTGTGTTAGGGTTTGCCTAACTGTTCACCATTTTAATCCCTTCCTGACACCTTAGCTCTTGCTGTCTAACTTGTCAGAATCAGCTTGTCTTTTTTTCATGAAGTGAAGGTGCTGTGTCATGTCAGATTTGCTCCAGCAGCAAAAACTAAATCACAAACACCTGAAACCATAACACTGTACTTTGACTACGCCAGGTGGCTGCAGTAAACCTGCAAAACTGTGTGTTTGTGTGTGCAATGAGTAACATGCTGTCCAAAGTGCACTGATATCCCTTACCTTACAAGAAAAAAACCTGATTTTCTTGAGGGTATGCTCTTTTTGTATCTAAGTACTGATACTGATGCATTTAATAAGTTTCTAAGAGCTTTAAGTAAAATTCCCATTGCATTTCTCTTAGATAAAATCAATGGGAGTACAGGTATGACAAAACATGTTGATCTACATGCCTAGAAAAAACACTAAAAAAACCCAGAACTGGATATAAAGTATTGAAAAGCAAAGTACAAACAAATAAAAATTGAAAGGAGAATTTTTAACCTTCCTTTTCAGAGCTAAGTTTTGAACACACATTGCCAACACACCAAATCAAAATCAGCACATATTGCATGTCTGATATAACACTAAAAAAGTAAGCTCTACTTGTCTCAGCTTAATCAGAAATTAAAGCAAAATGAAAAGACTGAGACGTTTGTATACTGTCGAGTAATGTAACTAAACATTAAAAAAAAAACAGAAAAATTGTCTAATATAACTAACAAGCTCCTAATTGAAATTGCCTTCCCTTTAGTAAGAAAACCTCAGCCTATTTTTTTCTCCAAGATTTACTAATGAATCTCAACACGACTGTACACCACTGTGCCTCAAATTCTTTTTAGACAATAACAGTGCCCTGTGAACTGATTCTGTGATAGCACAATAATTTAATTGCACTAGGGAAGATGTTCCCCCTTGGTCTTTTTTGTTCTCACTAAGACAAGTCTTCAGCTTTTTTTCTTCTGTGGAAGACTTGACACTGGTCTAGTCATATCTTCGGGCTTCATCATGATTGTCATTTTAATGTTAAATGCTCTACCAAACCTAGATCTTACAACTGTTACAAAACTTTACAGACAAAACTAAACAGAAGTGAAAGGAAACAATGTACTAAGGTGAAGATTTTCCCTGTTCTCTACCACACAGTTGTGTGCTTTCTCTAGTGTTCGACTGTAAAATAAAAGAACTTCTAAACTAGGAATCAAAATTTCAGTACTGGATAGACTTTGCATCAAGGCCATCGTTGTGTCACAGGCCTTCCACAGCACAATCTGAACCTGAAATTGCTGGAAAAAGGTTTTGGGAAAGAACACTCAATCCTCAAAAACATTCAAACACTCAAATCCTCAAAAAGCTATTCTATGAACAGTGTACATACTGCACTTGCTAATTCTCCTCAGGCAGCTTCCACCCACTTGGCAGAGCAAGCACCCACACACAGATACTGTGGCTACTACATTTACACACACACTGACTACCCTATACTTGCATGCTGACCTGCTACCCAATTGCTGTCCCTCCTAAGAGTTATAGCTAGTTAAATAGCCATAACTTCTTCCTCTCATTAGGGGCATTAAAAGTAGTCACCGCCTCTTTTCCACCAGCCTCCATATGTCAAACTATTTGTGTAAGAAACTTTGTACCTTTGAAGCCTCCACCTGTCCTAGGTGGTGACATTAATCATCAGCTTACATTAAGCTTTTGGGCAAAGAATAACAATTTGTCTCACTGTCCCTTTACTTATTTTCACATTCTGTATCTATTTACACAACTACAACACTTTTAAACACCTTTTTAGCATGCAGACTGACTTACCTATTTTGTCAGAATCTGTATGAACTGCCTGAATAACGGAAGTTCTGAGAATCACTTCAACATCTGAAGCTATTTTCAGAAGCTAGCAAAAAGGAACAAAAAAGGCACAGAAAACAGAACAGAGCAATTTAAATTATATGTGATTATTCCTGAAGATATTTTCCATACCAGACAACTATTCAAATAATAAAGCCCGTTCAGTTCTATTATTCAGTTAGCTATCTATATGCAGCTTTTGCCTTGGGGATCCTGGAATAATTTACAGATTGATATATAAACTACTCTGATATACAGATGAGAGAAGGAAACTTCAGCTCAGTAACATGCAGCAGAATATATAATAAAACTGCAAACAAATAAGGTAAAATGCAACCACAGAAACAATTAACTAGCTTCCAATGATCAAAGACATTTTGAATGCCCTAGTGAAAGAGCAATCTCATTCTTTTAACATGACTGCTCTTCAAATAAGGAGAAAAAAACAAGGGCAAAACATGACAAGAATTAAGAATACTGAGGTTTCACAGAAAAGCAGTACAAGAACAAGGCACTACCTAAGATTAGCAGAGGCATTAGTATTTGGCAAAAGGCCTGGAATTCCTTCCTCATTAAGACGATAAGCTGAAGCACCCTTGCTAGTTGTTTTGCTGCACCATTAAGAGAACCTAACACTTGTTTGCATGATACTTGTGTCAGAAACAAATGAAATTGCACAAGTGAGACACTTTAGGAGACATGTTTGTACTAGAAAGTAGTGTGAACCAACAGAAGAGGACCCCTGCAAAGGTTAGAGCTCAAGACTTGACATCTACACTGCACTTCTCCCCATGCCTTTCCCTTTTAAGGGTTTGGAGCAGGTATCCTTCAGTTCTCCCTACTGAAAGGCCAGCAGCAGCCAGGCTGCATGCTCCTGAAGCACACCTTCCCTTTCAGACTGATCTCAAAGGAATTTTTGCCATTTGCTCTGGCACTGCTTTACAAAGCAAGACACATCACAGGAAGTGGAGACAACCAAGGTAACTTCAGAAGTGCAGTCCGGGTCTGAACTAAAACCACTGCACTGGATTCAGCTACCACGTCTCACATTCTCATACTGCACACAGTTACTTTGATCTCCTTAAGATCACTCCACACTTGGTATGTATAAGTAGGTACTTGATGTCATAATACTCCTATTCCAGCAGAGTAATGCACATTTGGATCTTCAATATTGAATTTTTTAGCTGCTGTTCAAAGCAGAATGCTAACAGCACCATGTTTATGCAAGCAAGGGCCCAAACTCTCCCAAGTCCTGTATATCATTCAATTCAGTTCTTCTGCAAACAAGTCTATTCAGTGTGTGTATAAACATATATAGATGTATGTCTCTATAATAAATCTGACAGCTTCTGTGATGTTCTACGAGTGTGTAGTTGGGATGAAAGTCTAGCATTTCTTTCACTGACATATTTAATCAAGTCAACCAACCCACTTTAAAAAGTTACATGTGCATTTTGCAGGTTGCCAATCCTAACAAATACAGATTTAGAAATTATGACAAGTGTTTTTCCTGAATATCTACTAAAAAAACCCCCCAAACCACATAGCTGAGCTGATCAGATACTGAGAACACAAACACAGGGTATTACTACTGGAAGCTGACAACAAGCAGAGATGCAGAAAGTCCTAACTAAATGGTCAGGACTATTTATGTTACTGTCCAGTGGTTGGTATGAGGAAAAGGTTTACATTTATTTCTGCAAGGGATGAATGGAGGCACTTTTGTCCAACCAGTGCCCAGTGACAATGTAAATACAATCTGTAAAAAGGCTGAATGACAAGGACTAAGTTAGTCACTCTGTATAGATGTTAAGAACTAAAATCACCTAAAATACAGAAGTTTCATATCAGGCCTTAGTTAAGTTTTAGAAAAATGACTCAGTAAAAAGTGTAAAGGGTGCAATTGAGCAAAGGTAACTAACTTAGTGAGTTAACAGAATGTTCTACTTTTAATGCACCATGGGGAATGAAGAAGTAAAAAATCCCTGTGGTATAATTAATACCACTATACTACAGTCAGTCATAATAATTTTGCTGGGTTTTGCCTCCCTCAGAAGATGCTGATTCATTTGTGATCTGCCAGTAACTGAGCAGATTATTTAATTTCTCTGTATCCCGCTGTGCTTGTCTACACAATGGCCAGGTAAACTCAAGTGACCACAGCTCAGAAAGATGTTACGAGCAAAGTACAAAATATTTACATGAAAATAGCAATTGTAAACATTTTCCCCATAAGTTTATTACAAACTTCAAAATAATCATGTTGAACTGTCAGAAGACACTTTCTGCTTATGTATTTTTGTATGTGCAAAAATTCTCATTAATACCATTGGAGGTATTTACATATTTATAAACAGAGATCCAGGTAGCAGCTTTTTCGAACTAAGCTGGCTCTCATGATGTCTCAGTGTACCTCCACTGATTTAAATATTCTTTAAATAATAAGGTCATTTATAAGTATTCTTTTACAAATTGGAAAAAAAAAAAAGAGAAAACAAGCACCTCATTTATCTTCTCCTCAGATGTCTCGTCTTTGTTATTTCTGAATTCTTCATTTATCTTTTGTCTTGCAGCTAAATAAAGGAAACAAAAAAACCCAAAGAGTGAACAAAAATCGTATCCTGTGCTTTTCATTGCCTCAAAGCTCACAATTTTAATTCATTTATTCCACCTTCCTGTGACACTCTGCTTGAAGTATTTCAATGCAAGATTTCCTTGCAATTCATGTGATGTCATATTTTAAGTCGATTGGTACAGGAATAAAATAAGATTCCCTATCTAGCATTCTGAACTATGTACAGAAGCTTGTTTACTAAAAAAAACAGGACTTATCCCTTGAGGAGAAACCATACACAGACGACTAATTCAAATGTTTAGTACAGTTAAACATGCTTTGGTTGGACAGAAAAGAGGAAGTTTAAAAATAAAATAAAAAAAAATCTCCCAGGAAGATTAGCACAGTTCAAAAAAAGAGATATTTCCCTTATAAAATATGGCTTGAGCGCTTGAATCTAATAACCATTTTTTTGTTTCAAATTAAAGGATCTCTGGTTACTTATTACAAGTTCTCCCAACGATTACTTAAAAATATGGAAGGGAATGATGTAAGGAAAAATTATGTTAGGAATTCTCTGTGTACTTGGAGAAGAGAGGTCCACAGAAATATGGTTAAGCACACACCAAACAAGCATCTCACCTTCAAGGGCTCTGGTATCATTTTTAAAAACTTCTTGCCGTGTTCGGTGTAACAACTTAAAAAGCTTCAAAACCTGCCAAAACAACAACAACAATAGAATTAACTTATTTGCTGAGCAGGATTCTCAGGTAAAATTAACATGTTACAACTAAAAATGTTTCGGTTGAAAATTAATGTTATTTCCATTTAATAGACAATTTAACAGAATCAAATCAATATCTAAGATATTTTACTTCAATTCCTCATAAAGAAAACAACTTGCAGCCAAACTAGATGTGACGAAATCAAAATCCCAGACATTTCAAGTTCTGGACATTTCAAATTAATCTAAAATGCTGGCATTACATTCCTAAGTAATTATTTGGCACGATGGGTATATAATCCTGAATATACATGGACACAAACATATTTATTGTGCTGATGTCAAATAAAGCCAACAGAACTGAAATAACGCTAAATGTCAAGTTACTTGAAGGTACTATCAAGGGTACCTCAGTGGATATTCTCCAATTATTGAAAAAGGCAGAAACAGAGATAACTATAGTATTCTTACACTTACAAACCAATTTTTGAGAAAAGTGACTTTCAAAAGGATCTGAAACTGTGTATTAACTAATTCAACAGTTATTTTCCATGACTGTGCGATACCTGGGCATAATTTTGTAGAGGTGGTGTGGCAGAACCAACACAAGGCAAAGTCTTTCCCTTAAATACAACTGCCAGGTCAGCAAACAAAAACTTCACTAAAAGTAAACACTCAAAAATTAGGACTTAAACGTAGAGAAGACACACCTCAATATGTATGAAAAGCAAAACCCCTGAGAATCACAGCTCACAGGCATGTGGGTTTGGCTGTTCACTCATACAGGCTACAAGGAATTACAGAAATCCTCAAGTCCTTTTGAGACTTTTTCAGTGTTTCTCAGAGACTGGAAAGAATCTCTGACAAGCACCAAAAAAACCCACTAATCTTGATAACAAGATACCTTTTGAGGCTCTTTCTAGTACTTCCTAGCATGTTTTGGCATCTCTAGAAGGCACAATCCAGGTACTTCATAATAATATTAAATTGTTTTCTCACAATTAGTATTCAAAACATTTCTCAGAAGGATATGGAGGAAACACAGGGTTGTAACTGTGAAATGACCACCTTTATTGGCATGTTCTGTATCTGAGCTGGAGATGCAAACAAGACTGTCCCCTAAAAGTAAAACACAAATAAAAACATGCTGGCAGGGCCCTGACAAAAATGTTGTCTCTGCTTTAAGTCTGCCAATGACAGAAATGGTGATCTTCTCTGAAAGCTACTGTTTTCAACTGATGTCAACGCATTTTTAGATTTTCAAGGTAAATTCTCCTCCTTCACTCAGTTTGTCATTTGGCCACACCTTGAGAGAATTCATTCGGAAGTATGCACACACAGAAAGACAGCTTTCAGGAAGAGGAAAAAGACATAAACTGGTAAGCACACGCAACTTTCCAGTTCAGTGCTGCTTCTTCAACCTACTCAACTTTAGTGCTATCAAGGGACACCTTCAAATCTCACCTCACCATGTGGATTAGACCACATCATAACTTTTACTGTAAGGTGATCCAGCATGCTGAGAAGTATATGCAACTGCATAACAGATCTCTCTGGAAAGAGGGCAAATTAGTGCACTGTCAATTGCACAAGAGTCTCATGAATGTTCAAGTAAAAAACCTTCTGTCACTTTCACAAGAATTAGTATGAAACTTCACAATCAGTTAAATCAATCTCAGCAGAAACACATAAAAAAGAACAGGGAGCCTGCTAACTCCTTTTCAGCTTCTGGGTGCTTAATAATTAGCAGCTGAACAGAACCATGTTGCCTTTAATAGCAACGTTCCCTAGATAGGTTAATCTGTGGAAAGTAAACTCACAGAATTAGAAAGCAGCAAATAAATTTTTTTGCTTTGTAGATGTATTTTAACAGATTCGACTAAATTCCTTCAGGACATTCTGAAATATTTCTACCCCGTAATCTTTTCACCATCTTTGTAAATATTGAATAAATATTACCAGTCGTTTTGTGTCGAAGACACGTACGGTGAAACTTGGAAGTCTTTTATGGTTATTTCAAACTCTCTGATGAGCAATTTTCAGGCACCTTCCCACCCTCATAGCAGTTTACAGCTTCCTCACAAGGGGAAGAGCAGGGGCAGGCACTGATCTCTGCTCTGTGGTGACCAGTGACAGGTACCCAGGGAATGGCCTGAAACTGTGTCAGGGGAGGTTTAGGTTGGATATTAGAAAAAGTTTCTTCGCCCAGAGGGTGGTTGGGCACTGAACAGGCTCCCCAGGGCAGTGGGCACAGCACCAAGGCTGACAGAGTTCAAGAAGCGTTTGGATGATACTCTCAGGCACATTATGGGACTCTTAGGGAGGCTCCTGTGCAGGGCTAAGGGTTGGACTTGATGATCCCTGTGGATCCCTTCCAACTGGGCATATTCTTACTCTGTTTCTGCACATCCCTCCTGGGCAGTTTTCACCACCCCAGCCCCAGAGCAGTTGCCCTGGATGACCGTGATCAAGACACATTAATGCAGCCCCCTCCGACCTCACCGGCCCCCACCCAAACACAGAACTCCCCCATCACCTCAGTGCATCAGCGCTCCCGAACCAGGCTTCGGAACGCTGCCGAAAAAGGTGCTCTCGAGCCTGACACTGCTCTACACCGCACACACGGAAAGCTTAAATATTTCTTCACTCTTTGCTTTTCTTCACCTTACCCTCACGAGTCGCGCTTTCCATGCATTTTAACCTCCGCTTATTCTGCCTCGATTCCATTTCCCACAGCGGCCTTGGTGTGAAAACCCCTCCCTTCCTCTCCCCTAGTCCTCCTCGTCCTGACAGCCTTATCTCTCTCGACTCCTACACACGCCACAGAGCTCCAACCCGCCCGGAGAACTCCCGTGAGCACAGAAGGTGTGTGTGACTCGCCTGCCCGCGGCTCCCCATGGCGGCCGCCGTCCGGGGGGACGGGCCGGACCCGGCCGGGAAGGGACCGGGAAGTGACGGGCTGGGAAGTGACGAGCTGGGAAGTGACGATCCGGGAGGGACGATGCGGGAAGGACGATCCCGGACATGCCGTGCCGGTGCTGCCGGTGCTGCCGGCCGTGCGGTTGTTGGCTCTCTCCGGTGAGGGAGGCTCCGCACCCCCCTGTGGGCCGTCTGTTCCAGCGCTCGGTCACACGCGCAGTGAAGATGTTCTTCCTCATCCTCAGGTCGAGCTCGCCGCGCATCAGTTTCTGCCCGTTGCCACTTGTCCTCTTCCGTGGCACCACCAAGAAGAGCCTGGCTCCATCCTCTTGGCACCCCTGCTTTAGGTGTTTATGCACATTGATGAGGTCCCCTCTCAGTTGTCTCTTCTCAAGGCTGAACAGACCCAAATCCCTCCTTTTTCCTCGTAAGAGGGATGCTCCAGTCCCCCCAGCCTCCCTCGTTGCCCTCCACTGGACCCGCCCCAGGAGCTCCATGTCCCTCTTGTCCTGAGGAGCCCAGAACTGGACACAGCACTCCAGATGTGGCCCCACCGGGGCTGAGTAGAAGGGCAGGGTCACCTCCCGTGGCCTGCTGGCAATGCCCTTCCTGATGCACCCCAGGACACCACCTTATGTGGCTCTGAGGGAGCTCCTGTGCAGGGCTAAGGGTTGGAATCAATCAAATCAATCATCCTTGTGGGGTGGGGTGCCTTCTCCTTACCCAGACTATTTTTTTCACCTTTTACAGAAGGAAAATTGTGGCTACAGCTCCTTGTTTCTGCGCTTATCAGTGGTATCTCAGGATGTTTCTGGTTCCTAGGTACCCAGCTGTACTTAGAAGGGGCCAGGGACACTTTTGGTTCCCAGGATCACAGCTGGCAGGCTTTTTCCTCTGCTGGTGTTTTCCAACAGGCATTTTCTTTTGTTCAGTCCTTTTCCCCTTCTAGTCAGGTCAGTTTCTCGGCTGCTCACATCAAGCTCCCCACAGCCTTGCCCTGTCTCAGGGACCAACCCAGGCTTGGCCCAGTCATACCATGGCCACGTCCAGTACTTGTATAAAACTCAATTGCCTCTCTTTAGAAAAACAAACAAGCTTATACTTCAATAACACATCACCCAGCATTAGCTAAAGGCAGCATAGAGATTTTGTGTGTAATCAGCTTTACTGCTCACTAGATCTCTGGCTTCCATACCTAGTCTATTTAATTGTTTAATTGCAATTACATTGGCAGATAATTGAAAAAGCGTAACACTAAACTATTACTCAATAATTTTCATATATTTATTAGTTATTTATGAATTATTAGTCATAAGCATTTATAAAATACTTATCTTGGACTATGTGCCCCATAAAGAAACTCATTCTGTTAGCAGGAGAATGTTTGTTCATAGATTTATTTTCAGGAATAATTATTGTGAATGAATGAATGAAACTCTTTGAAAAGACCTTGTTTTATTCCAAATAGTATAAAATTTGCCACTTACATGGTGAGACAAAAATATATGTTGAAGTCAACTATATGAAATAAATGCTTTTTGCTTTTTCAAACTTCTAAAATTGTCTCTTTGTGTTTTCTCATAGCACAGAAATATGCTTTCTAGGCTGATTCCACCACAGCCCTTGGAACTACTTAAAGTACACTAGCATGTGCAAATGGATCCTGAACAAGTATTTATATGTTAAACTCTTTAATCTGTCTAGCTAGTACTATCAGATCTTCTGTTCTTTCACAGAATACCTTTAATTCCTGAGAAAATAAAGGAAAAAAACTAATAATATATTTACTGAATAACCACGGTTAGGCAACAATATAAATCAAAGCAATTTGTCCTGGAAGCCCCAATTCCATCCTTGTTTTAGTTATCATAAAGCTCCAATACCATCTGTAGGATGGACACATGTCAAAATATCCTAATCCAAAACTACCAGCTGAGGAACAGAGTATCATCCAAGGTTTAATGTGCTTTACCAGAGCTTTGTTTAGGGTATCTCAGACTATTTCAGAGTTATTACCAGAAATATTCAATAAATTCTGCTCTTTTTGTAACAAGTTAAGGTAATCAAATGTGGAACCATATTATGTTTAATCCACTTAGCAGTATTTATCCCCTGCCTCCCTCCAGAATGCTTTCCTGGGAGATTTGTGTCAAGAGGCAACTATATGTAAATGTCTATATTAAAACCTTCCCAGACAAAGCTTGAGGGAAATCAATCTATTTTATCTGTGAAGTTCAGAATATCACAGAACCATGGAATGGTCTGGATTGGAAGGGATCTTAAAGATCATCTAGTTCCAACCCCCCTGCCATGAGGAGGGACACTTTTCACTAAACCAGTTTGCTCAGAGCCCTCTCCAACCTGCCCTTGAACACTTACAGGGATGGGGCAACCACAGCTTCTCTGGGTAACCTGTTCTGATGCCTCACCACCCTCACAGTAAAGAATTTCTTCCTAATATCCAGTTTAAACCTGCAATCTTGCAGTTTGAGGCCATGAAGGCAGCACCGTGAACTTGGTCTCGTTAAAGCACATGAAAAGGAAACTTTGTTTTTACTCTTATTTTTCTTTCCCTACTGCTCTTTCATTTCTCCTGTTTCATGACTGCTGTCATGTCTATAAAAAAAAGCATTTACGACTAGATGTATAGCTGTGCAACATTATGTCGTCCTCTGTAACTTACTAGTCATATTGATTAGCTTGTTTCATGGTTAGGAAATTACTCATATGCAGAAGAGCTGGCACATTAAACTGCTCCTCTGCGGGAGCCATCCCAGCAGCACCCGCAACCCGCCAACTTGTACGGAAAAGCCTAGCGGCAGCCCTGCCCGAAGCAGTCTGCAAGGGGAAGTCCCAAGAAGTCGCACAGACACTCGGGTTGGATTTGACAAGCAGTATTTCTCACTACACCAGCCTCTCCTGCCAGCGCACTAATTCTGCACTAATTCGGCAGGCGTACCTCCCTTCACAGCTCTGATCCCTCCGCGGCAGCCGCCGACAACCGCACCCGCGGATCCCTCCGCGCCCCGCGGGTCAGCGGGGGTGGGAGGGCGCGCCAGCGCGGTGGGCGGTGACGGGCGGGAAGAAAGACAGGCAAAGTGACCAAT